CTCGTTAATTCTAACAAATTACAAAAGTACCAGCATTCAGAGTGGTGCTACCTGCCCTTTACCTCCCAAGTCTTCAGGGACCCTTGAAGAATGTTTTAAAGACAAGGTTGCTAAAATGATATCGTTTAAAAGCACGTATATTGCTGCCATGTTGCAATTTTTTTCAGAGCTCGTTGGTAGAGGGGACGATGTGTAAATCTCTTAAGCTTTGCATGTTTTGGAAGAGGTAGGTCATTACTGGGATTTTTCTCTATCACAATCTAAAACTTTTCCTCGGTTAGGCCGTGCATTTTAATTCTGCCAACCTTGCAGTCGTTAGTCATGAAAATACTTAATAACTAAGGAATGCACCATTATAAAAGAGTTTGGAGGTATTATGTGAGGAATAGTACAGTCATATTTTATCACTGTACTTTATCATATGGCTCAGATTCGCTGAGGGATCTCTGTGTTTAATGCATTTTACTAAGCACTGTACATACCAGAAATAAGACAGTGTCTGCCTAGAAAAACTTCTTCTGTTACTGATTTTGCATTGCCCCGGGACTAATTTGTCCCGATATATTGAGCAAGATGCAATTTTAATCACATAAATGTCAGTCAAAATATCTCAATCCTCGGTGTACCCGTTATTTAAACATTGAACTATTTTAGGACGTTGTAAGAGGCCTAGCACAGGGCTATGTGATTCCTGCCTCGTGTAGGGCATTTAACTAACAGCATTTGCAGAAAAAAGGCGAGCAAAGGTTCGTTCCCTCTGTGGTGGGAACGTAGTGGAAGAAAAGAGAAGCAACAGTTCAGGGCGGTAATTAGGTGATTACTAATTAATCACGCAGTATTGTGTTGCTGTTCTCTGGTCCTAATCTTTTTTCTTTCTTTCTTTCTTTTTCCCCTTTTTTATTTCCTGGGATCGTAACAGGAGTAATTCTTTTCTCTTTAGGTCTCGTCTCCTTTTTTTTAACTATTTGTGTTGCTAGTTTAACAGTCAGGAAACAAAGTGGCCGGGCCCGATCCTGCGATTTGGCGCAGCCGCACCGACACGAGCGGAGGCAGGAGGCGCGGGGAGTGCGGGCAGCTCTCGATGTTACCCTGCAAAGCGGTTCGGGCTGTGCTTTCTGCACTGCCCGCGGGAGCTTAGTTTGTTTTACTGCATTTGAAAGACGCAGGCTAGGCTCAGGACTGGATTCCAGACACATCACAGTTAAGCGTTTGGAGACCGAGGTTTTATTTATGCCCCGCCTTGGAGCAAAAATCCGATCCGTTGCAAAGGCCAGACCCGCACGGAAAGAAATTGTCGGTGTCGGCCGGCATTACTTGATTCTCGGCCCCCAGCAGTTTTTCCGTGCGATACTTAGTTGATGCCCCTTATTCTGTAAGTCCCCCGCCCGCAGGTAGGTCCCGATTCTGTAGCGATTTGCAAACGCATTCAACACGCTGAATATATATTTTTAGAGCCACTCTAGGGATAGACTCCCAGTGTTTAAAAAGGGAATGAAGGGGTTTGCAGATCTTACTATAAAGTGCAGCTGTCACTGTGCTAACATCCCCTAAAATCATTTATCGTATGTGATAGCCTACTTCTTTACACTTCCACTTTCGCACACTGTTTCTACAGTGCTCACATCTGTTTATGTCATCTTCGGAGCGTGGTACAGTGAATTGGGGATTGAAATGAAGTCGTTAGGGTTTCTTGTTTGTTAATGTAGGTACTTAAAGTTAGGCTGTTTAAATCCATAGTTAGGCCTTTATTGAGAGGTGGCCTGTTTTTTCGTAAGAGGTGAGTACACAGCAGCTCCTGCTGAGATAAACATGGAGTAGTGAGTGCTCAGCAAGTAGGAAAATACTTTTTGTTTGTACAGTATAAACGGAACTGAGAGTGTAAGTGTGGTGTTCGTCTTTCAATATGTTTGGACCCACTCTGGGTTTTTCTGTTTGTGAGCACTCTTGCATTCCTTACAGAATACATTATACCCCCGGTAAGTGGAGAGTGACTGGAAATTGCGATGAAGTTTCAGATGAATAATAATTTTCACGGAGCAATGGTGAGGAAATTATATGGATCATTAAAACAGTTAATGGGTCGTTAACAAAATTATCAGAAACACGAATGGAAGCAAAATATTTCGGGGTACTTGCTAATTCAGTTTAAGTTTCTTTTAACTCCGGCTTGGTGAGAACAGTTGCAAAGCAACTAGCTTGTTTCCCCTGTATGGAAACACTCGCTTAGTAAGAAACCAGTGAGCAGGCAGGTGTGTGAGCCTGCTGACACACGTGTCCGTCGGTGCGGCTGTCAGGGGATCACGCTATGCTCCGTGCACACGGAGGTGACAAACGCTGCAGCGGGCAGCTGCCTCGCGTGCCCCCCGCTCCGCTCCCCCAGGACCGCACAAGCCAAAGATGCTTGCGGAGGAGGGAGGGAAAGATCACGCTCATTTTTCGGACTGGGTCGCCCAGATCCGGAAACGAGCGGCACTTCTCGCCGGTGTAACAGCTCTTTCCTTGGAAAGGTGTCATCGCCTCCAAGCTGCAAACGATAGTAATAATGCACCCGCATGGAAGAGGCAGGTCATATGTATGTGGCTTGGCCGTCAGTCTGTTCGCTCAAGGCTGAAGTGAGAAGGGGAAATAAACGCAGCTCTTTAACAGGGGACATCCAGCAATAATTCTCGGGGGGGGGGGGGGGGTTCTTCCCATTTAAGTCAATAGAAATTTTGTCTTTGGCTTCAGTAAAGGAGTACGGTCGGGCCCCTCGTCCTCTTGTACAATTTTTTTCCCTTCCAGAAATTCTTGCAAGTAGCAATAAACACGAACACAAAGTGGGCACTAAGGAAAAACAGTAGGAGCCGGAGTTCGAAAAAATACTTCTAAGCCAAAATACTGAAATCTTGTTTTGTGAAGTCTCTGTTGTAAGAACATTTCATTAAAAATCAATTATTTCCAATTAGGGAAAATGAATAGCTAGCGTGGTCTTCCTGTGTAAAATGTTTACTTCTTGATCTGCTGAGGTCGTATTTTAAATGTTCTTTTGCATCTACAGTAACGTGTTACTGGCAGATCTTTAACATCTGCAATTTCAATCTCTATTTTGTAACATTTAACTAGAAAAAAATACCAGTTAGCCGATCGGCGTTTTTAGAAACGTATGAGGTGTTGCGCAGTAAGCCTGGGGACATTAGTTTCTCCCCTCCACACATTTTTTTGTAGTCGACCATTTAGTATCAACAGGGTTCACTGTAAGATACAGCCACTTTTACTTCCTAGTCATTTTTAGATAAACTCCGATGTGGTCTTGTATTCAGTTCCTGTATTTATATGTTCATGATTTAAAACTAATTGTGGCAAAGCAGCCCTTGATAGTTTACAATCTATAATATTGATTAGCTTCCCAACAGGGATCTGTCGGATTCCCCCCCCCCCCCATTTTATTACTGCCTCCAAAAAACCCCACTTCCTTCCAGCAAAGCCGACGTAGCTGGTTCTAAAATGCTACTTAACACGAAATATCGACGTGTTTGCGCATCCACTAAGCGGTGCTCTCCGAAGCCTGTCCTTAATCCGTTACCCCAAATAACACCCCACATTGTCTCCAGGGCAGGCGTTTGTTCTCCCGTCTTTTCCTGTGTCCTATTAATAGGACAAATTTACTTTCACATGACCCTTCCTACATATATTCGGTGACAGTTTGCTTTGACTTACTGCTGGCTGCAAAATGGGTCCGTTAATTAAAAAAATCTCTTTCCCCTTCTGAGGCAGTCCGATGGGGGCAGAAGAGCCATTGCGCATACGCCTTCCAAGCAGGTGAGGTGCGGAGCATCCTCCGCACGCTGCCAGCAGGAGCCTGCTGGTTTTCCTTAGAGAAACCCCGCTTTTTCGCAGGAAACGTGATGCAGGGTATGCAAAAAGCAGAGTGGCCGTAAGGGACTTGGTGCCTGTTTTCCCCCCAAACTTCCTCGAGCGGTATCAGAAGAGAAGGTGAAAGCGCTTGTTTAAAAGCCCCCCTTTTAAAGGCAAATTTGTCCCTAACCGAAGGAGAAACTAAGCGTGAGGAGGGGAAGAAATGCGAACAGCGGCGAGCTGAAAACCTCCGTTAGCAGCATCACCAGTCCCCAGGTGCGGCGGGGACCGACGGGCGCCGCGCGGTTTTCCCCCGTGGAAAAGCGCTACCTGCTTTTTGCCAGGTCTGCTGAGGAGTGGAGGGTGCATCCGCGGAAAAATGGGTTGTTCCCCGGCATTGGGAGTGAACGAGAAACAGCTGGGAAAGAGGAGCGGGGAAAACTGTCTCCATGCGCTCCCGCTCTTCTTCCACTCCCCCCCTCCTTTTTTTTTTTGTTAAAACCAGGGTGTGTTTCCTTATGAGGTACCTAGAGGAATAATCCTGCGGTTTGCTCTCTCGTTTTGTTCTCTCCGCCCTTTATCGTTCGTAGGTAGGCTTTTTTTTGTGTGTGTATGTATGTGTTTGTTTCTGAAAAGTAGCTCCAGCTCACTTGCTTTTATCCGCTCCGGCTTTCGTTTTAAAGATGGAAAAATACGGGTTCTCAGCCTGGTAGCGGAGAGACCCTCTCGCTCTCACGGCAGTCAAAATAAGGGTACCACCTGGAATTAGGCAGAACTGGTCGATGGTGCTCGAATTCGGTAATGCCTGTTTTAGAGCCTTCCCGTTTAGTATTAACGCCATGCAGACGGAGCATATTTCTGCTCTGGGCGCGTTTAGGTTTCCCCTTGAAACTGCAGAGCGGAGGGAAGCAGGCGGGCACGGCTTTGAGATGTTTGTCGCGCTGCAACCATTATTCCGAGCAGCCTGCGATGTTTTCTTGTGCTGCCTGTTTTTTTTTTTTTCCTACGGCTCCTCTTCTCCTATCAACTGGAGACTCAGGAGCAGAAATCAAACAAACAAACAAAAACAAAGGGAGAGAGAGAAAAAAAAAG